GATATCTGGTCAAAAAACCCAATAATTTAGATATTGACTGTATGTGATGTCCGCCTCAAACATCTGTATTTATTCATGAATATTAATTCCTTCTTTTACAATGTCTGGTTGTAAAATTACAGTTTTATTGCATTTAAATCAGGAAAAAAAAAAAGATTATTTCAGATATTTCATGCAGTTTTTGCTGCTTTTAAAGCTCCAGTTGTGGCTGCCTCGCTGCCAGATGTTTACTGTTATTTTACAGATGTTTTATATCATTTTTTTCTGAATTAAATTGCAAATGTCGACTCAAATCACAGAAAAAAATCAATATTATTTTAGACATTAACTGTATGTGATGTCCGCCTCAAACATCTGTGTTTATTCATGAATATTAATTCCTTCTTTTACAATGTCTGGTTGTAAAATTACAGTTTAATTGTATTTAAATCAGAAAAAAAGGGATTATTTCACAGATATTTTTCCAGTTTTCTACCGTTCCTGCCTCCCCTCCTGCCAGATGTTTGCAACTATTTTACAGATGTTTCAGTGCTCGTGCTGCACAGAAGCAGCTTCAGCGCTCCTGTAAAGTGAAACCCAGACGGACCGACAGATTAACGCCGAGGTCGAGTGGAGGTGATTAATTAAAGAGTCTGAGAGCAGCGATCGATGGGGGCTGTTCAGGAGCAGATTCACTGAGGCGGGTTCCTCACAGTCCCATCACCGCCATGAAGCTCGTTCAGGAGACGGACGGTCGACCTGCAGCCTCGGGCGGCTGCTGCTGTCTGCAGCTCGTTGTGTTGCTGGTATTATTGTGTGTTTGTGTGTCGGAGAGCAGCCGGAGGAAGTTTTCCACGCATTGATGACATTCAGTCTCAGGTCAGCGTGTTTGTTGGGACCAAATGGAGCAAACGGAACCGAGTTAGGAAGCATGTTGTTGTGGAAAACGCTTCTGTCTGCCGGGTGGAGGGAAAAATCTATAGAAATAAAAAAAAACTGTGGCAGCAAGGGAGCTAAAAAACACACATCAGGATAAAAAGAAAGTAAAACAGGATGAAAATAGCAGCAAATATATGGAGAATAACTCTATTTTTACTGATTTAAATACAGTAAATCAAATTTAAAAGACCAAAACACCATTTATGTAGATTTATGTTATTTACAGTTTTATCCTCTTTTATACAGTCGACGTGTAAATTCTGACTTTATTCTGATTTTACTCGACAATGTGTTTATTTAAATCTGTAAAATAACGTTTTATTTTATTTTATTTTATTACAGTTCCCTCCACTGTGGGCTGCAGTTTATTCTGCTGCACCTGAAGCTGAGTCTACAGCCAGAACCAGAACCTGGACCTTCGTCTCAGCTGCTTCTCCCTCTGAGCGGTGAAATGAACGGAGGAAACGTTTCCCCAGAGAGCAGAGCAGAATCCATCTCTGACCCGACGGACAGGAACCCGGTAGGACGGCGGGACGAGGCCTTCCAGTGACAGGCAGCAGGACAGAACACTGATAGAAGGTTCTGCTGTGTTCTACTAGACGGTTTGTTCTGACGATGAAGTCCAGGTTTGGTTCAGTAGTCGCAGTTTAACCGATTTAAAATGCTAAAAATAACTATCTGTGAAATCATGAAATAATGACATTTTTAGCCGATTTAAATACAGTAAAATTTACAGTCACATTTAAATAGTTAGTTTATAAACATATATAATATACAGATTTTTGATGAGAACATTTTTTTATAGTAAACGTGAAAAAATTATAATTTTCTGTGATTTGACGAAATATTATCTAGTTCAACACAACTGAAAATTTGTAAAAATTACAGTTATTTACTTTTTTTAAGCATTAGTATAAATAATTTTTCTTTTAAATAACTACAAATATCTGTAAAATAATTGACTCTTAGCCAATTTAAATACAGTAAAATTTTATAGTCACATTGTTTTTTTTATTTTTATTTTCTTTAATACAGATTTTTGATGTGGACATTTTTACATTTTTTTTTTTTTTTTTTTACAGTTTTGGCCAGTTTTATTTTTATTATTATTTTTTTTAACCTCAAAATGTAAACTAAATATTATCTAATTTAACAAAACAGAAAAAAAATCATAAAATTAGAATTATTAATTTAACATTTTCACATCCTTAATATAAATATTTTTTTCTTTCAAATAACTACAAATATCTGTTAAAACAATTTAGTAAAAAAATGTTAAAAAAAAAAAGAAAAAGTGTTATTTTTGGTTCAAATGATGTAAGAGAGTAAATTACTGTTTTTAAAAATAGTAAATTATTTACACTTTTTTAACAGCTAATAGTAATAATAATGCTTATATAGTGCTTTTCTTGATGCTCAAAGATGCTTTACAGAATAGGTAACAACAAAACAAACAAAGATGTAAACTTTTGTAGTTTTACTCGATATTTTCTGTAATTTAACAAAACAGAAACTCTGTGCAGTAACAGTTTAATTTACTGAAGCAGGTTTGTGAAATAGTCTGTAAATAAAATTACAGTTAAAACCTACTTTTAAACGCTTTTATTTTTCTGGATTTAATCAGTTTTCACGTGGAAACACATTTTTGTGAAGCAGGACATCCTTTAATGCACATTTTCTCTCTTATGTCCAGTTTTTAATCAAACCCAGACCCAGAAATATTCTTTCGTCTGAGTGAGTTCGTTGTTCTGCTCAGCATCAGAACACAATCACTGATGCACCGTCCCGCTCTGGTGTCGGGTTTTCTGATGAAACGGATCCAGCAGCCGACCTTTAGGTGACACCGGTGTGGTTGGTCGCGTCGACGGCGGACACTCACCGGGTGTCTGTTAATAACGACGCATTAAGAGGCCTGAAGCTTCCTGTTTACAGTCATAAAACACACCTGCTCACACACCGATGGAAGACACGTTGGACAACGAGGTGACAGAATAATGACGCTTCCTTTAGCTGCTGGTCACCAAACAGAGCCGAGGACCGTGCTGAGGTGTCACCCCGTCTGGAGGGTTTAACAGGACGAACATCAGCAACACATGCACGAGGGTTTCACGCCACAGGACGCCTCAAAACTCAAACCATCGAGTTGCAGAATCACGACAGAGCTTCTGTCTGCTCTGGTTTCTACTGCTCGTCTGAATGTGCATCAAACAAAGCCCAGAAGCTCCCAGCAGAGCGTCCGCTGCAGCAGAAACCCTCCGACAGCAGCAAAGACAGGACAAGGCTCGCAGACGAGACGACAGCGATGAAACACCAACGTGTTCGACGGAAGGACTCAGTCTGGAGCTTCAGGACATCACAAGACGAGCAGATGAACTCTAGAAAGTAATTCAGGAGTGTGTGTGATGATTCACGGCTGCAAGATTTTTAAAAAAAGGCACATTTAACTGTTACTGTGTGGACAAAACCACATCTGCTTCCATGCTGGCAGCAGAGAGCATTGTGGGAGTTTAGCAGCATGACAGAGACTCTGAGGAGGTTCATGAGCTCCAACCATGAGTTCAACACAAACCAGGAGACTGTTTAAATAAGACACATGGAACAGAGCTGAGCTTCACATCCAGCTGATGAATGTTTTGACTGAAGCGTGACCATGACAAGGACCTCTGTGGATGAGCTCTGATGTTAAAGACAAGCTGGGATCCACCAGGACACTGTTCCTGTTTCAGTGACTCTGAGGAACAGATCATGTTTCTGTTGATGAAAGCTTCAGCTCACACGTTAGATTTTGTCCCTGATCGGTTAAAAAAAAAGGCCTGAATCAGCTCTAATCTGAGATCTAATCAGGACTAAAGGTTATCATTATTACTGTAAGTGTGTGAACGTCTGAGCAGACAAACTTTACGTCTCCACACTGAATCCAAAAGCAGCTAAAACAGGCTAAGCTAGCAGCGGGCACCATGACAACGGCTCCTGTGGAGGTCAATGACCTCCAACCAGTGAGCTTCACTGAAATCATAAATCACTCATGTTCTGATGTCCAAAATCATGAATTGACTGAAACAGCAGCTTCAGCTCAGACCAGATGTTCGCTTCAGGTTCATCCATCAGTGATAAAGGCCTGAATCAGCTGCAGTCCAGATCTTTAAACAATACATCTTATAAAATCAGTGCAGACATTTGCTTCCACCGCGTGCACGTTTTCCACCCACAGTGCACGGACAGTGGAGCAGAACACCAGCGTGTGCACGAGTGTGTGCACGCCCCCAGCAGCGTAATGAAGCCTTCAGTCAGAGATGCTGCTGCTGCTGTCAGACACGCTGCACACATACGAACCCTCCTGAGTGTGCGCATGACACGCACGTGTGAGTGCACGCTCACAGCAGCCCGTGTCAGCGCTGATCGGCCGCCTCGGATGTGACAGACACACTGTGTGTACTGTACGCGCACATATGCGTGTGTTTGCGCGGTGGGGAAAGAGGTCAGGGAGGGAGGAGCTGATTGGCTGCCGAGGCGAGTCGGCGCATCTTTAACCCACTGCCCTTCTTTCTGCGCCCCCTCCCCCCCGGATCATCCCCCCACGGCCACTGAACCAGCACCTACACGGTCCCTCTGCACCTACACGCACTGTGGCCACACGCACGCAGCCCCGCCGCGCCCCCCTCCGTCTTTAAATGTTAAATAATGCGACTTGTGGACGTGAGCGCGCAAAATAATCCGTCTGTCGATACCGTCTGGCGACAGAAAGGTGAAAGAAAAAGGTTTAGAAGGTCAGAGCGTTCTGCAGAGACTCTGAGGTTTCACTGTACGCTGTGTATGGATGGTCTGTGGATGGAGGTCGGTCTGTGATGGATGATCTGCCCCGTTTAAACACACCGTCCGCATCCTGGTGCGTAAAACGCGCAGCCGAGCGGTTTCTCTCCAGACACCTTCAGCCCAGAGGAGAAACCCCCGCAGGTCAATGTCAGAGCATCGATGAAGCCACACAGCGGCTCTGAGCGCTGCAGAGGACAAAGACACGCCACAGAGCCCGCAGACAGAACCGGACCGGAGCCCCCCGGTGCGCACCGACCGTCCACACTCACCTCACAGTCGTACAACTCGCTGAGCTGCTCGATGATCCACTCCTCCAGCACCAGTCTTTTCCGCAGCTCCTTCCGGTCGTACTTCACCGTCACCTTGCCCTGCTTCTTCTGGACCGGGTCGTCGGTGCCGGTGATGGGCCCGGACCCCACGCAGCCCACACCGGGCGCTGCCTGGAAGAAGACGCGGCTGCCGGCGGTGGGCAGAGGCGCGCTGGTCTCGGTGCTGGCGGCCGACATGGCGGGCTGTGGAGGCTGGTTGCCGGGTAGATGTGAGGATGAGGAGGGGGACTGCAGGCGGAGAATGTGCGGAGCTTTTAAACAGCTGCTATTTAAAGCGCAGCGCCGGAGACGCTGAGGAGGCGGAGCGCGCACTGCAAGAAGTGACCGGCCGCCTCTGCGGCTCCTGCTGGAGCAGAACCAGCCTTTAGCTCACAAACCTGCAAAGGATGAAATAAATACCAGCTTTACACATAAATGTCTCCCCATTTCAGTCAAATCATATCATCTAATGAAGAATCCCTCCGCTGTGGTTCAGTGACACCTGCAGTGACTTTAGTTCATCTCCAGACTGGATCCAGGAAGGTTCCACCAGCAGCTCCCAGATCAGGCTTCAGGGAATAAAGAGGAGAAATGAGTCTTTATTTGTGATGTGTTGGGAGTTACTTCGGTCATTTTTTACAGCGTGTGAGCAGAGAATCCCTGAATGATGTTTGTTTGTGTCTGAAGGACAGAATCTGAAGCTGCTGCCATCATTCCTGCATTTACCTGAACATTCATGATTCATCTTGTCTCATAAAAGATGGTTTTAAAAAAACAGAATGGAGATAACGCTTGAAATTAGAGAAGCAACATATTTACTGACAGTCTGAACCCAAACACCCCAACCTGCCACTGAGGAGAGGCTGCTGCGCCACCTGCTGGCCAAATCATA